GAGTTTCTCATACTATGACACTGATATATTAATGAGAAAAAAGAGAACCAAATCAACCAACGGTTTGCTTTGATAATGAGATGCTACTTGTGTTCACCATTTACTTAATACTGATTAATAATGTATTTTTGCAGATTTCGATCAATTTGTATGAGCAGTTCATTCAGAAAGTTCATCTTTTCAAGGGATGCTCTTCTGGGTTCATTAAACATGTTGTAAGATATTATTAACTTGCTAGTATGCTGGACTGGAATAATTTAGTTGAAAAGCCTAAAATGTACCATATGCACTTTGAATTCTTATGATATCCGTGAGTGCTTCAGCCTCAAATTAAGTGAGACGCTATACATTTTCAATTAAAAAATGAAACGTGTGAAATGAAATTACTTTCTTGGAAGACAATCTCCCAAGTATCTGTAATTTGATCTGATATCTGTGTCTTGATATTCTTAAATAGTGGCTTACTTGTTAGGTACAAGTTGCTGCAAGCTATTAGCACAGTTAAGAAACTTGTACACATACAGTTCCATTTTTTTTCTTCAAAATTTCTAATGTACACCTCATGTTTAACTGGTTTTGAAAGAGTCCTAGCAACCAAAGCCAACAGTAAGCAACATGAGCTAATAAAGTTTTATCGTCAAAAAAGCAAAGAAACTATATAATGGACACATAAAGAATATGTTTCACCACGAAGAACACTAATATTAAGATTCTTTCTTGACATGTTATATGTATAGGTAATGTTTGAGATTACAAAGGGAATGTTAATTAAGAAGTAATTCTAATTTGGAGCTGTAGCTGTCAGATGAGATGAACATACTGATGACTACTATTTAAGAGAAGTTAAAAGCATGTTTAAATTGTTTACTGAACAGTTATTTAAATTTTTTATATGCAAGTTTTGAATTTCCATCGTACTTAGTTCATGTGCTCTTTAAGAATTTACTAGTTTATATGTTACATTCGGTCATACAAGAGGGGGCAGGGTTGGCAAAAAAAAGGTTTTTTTTTTTTTGGGGGGGGGGGGAAGGATAGAAGTTAAGCCTTCTTTGAGGAAATGGTTTGCTCAATGTCTCGTTTTACAGGCAATCAATGTCCATGAGGAGTTTTTTCTCCCAGGAGAAGTTATTATGGAGCAAGGAGATGTAGCAGATCAGCTTTACCTTGTATGCCATGGTGAGCTGGTATGAATTCTAATTGCTCAACTCATTTGGTGCATTTATGTATATTTTTTATGTTTATTTGTAGAGTGGTAAAACATCTCCCCTGTTCCACTAGTTCCTAAATATTGAATAAGAAAGATATTTGGCATGAATTTACAGAAGCCTCTAAATGTAATTTGTCTTGTTTGTCACTTGTTATGTTGATAATGGAAAGAACTGCCTTCGCTAACTTTTATTATTTGGACATGGTATTGACAATATCTAGCTAGTTAGAAACACAAGCCCCTATATGTGCAGCCCCATTTGTGCCCGCTCAGCATAGAATGCCATATAAGATGAAAAGCAGATCAGAATATTTTGTATTCAAAAGGAACTAGGAGAAAGAGTCCAGAAACATTAGCAAGCTGATCCCCATTCTTTATTCTCACTAGGTGGATATTTTAGCAAGTCACTTGTAAATAATCTACTAACTGTCATCAATATAAAATAACAAATTTTAACAAGATCTACTATTTATAAGGTGTGAGCAGGATCACCTATTTCTCGGATTTCATGCAATGCATAAGATCCACATCTAATTTCAGGATGGGGTGTGCTAGTTCAATTTTACTTCACAGATATGTATATATGGTTGAGCTTTTTGAATGTTGAATTATTTGTCTTGTAAGTTCCATGCTTTTATATTTGAAAAATATGCGTACAAAGGCACCTCCTGGTGTCAGATGAAGTTTTTGTATCTCATTTTCAAATTTGGCGTGATGGCTTTCATCTTGTCCACAGGATGAGCTCAGGAAGGAAGATGATGAAAGGGAAGAACTAGTTAAGCAATATCAAGCCTATAGTTCCTTTGGCGAGGTTTCCTTTCTTTGCAATTTGCCTCAACCTTGTATGGTTCGCGCTCGTGAATTTTGCAAAGTTCTGCGTCTAGATAAGATATCCTTTACAGAAACACTCAGGACATACTTCTTAGATCGTCGGGTTATCTTGCAAAATCTTCTTGAGGTATCCTTTTGACAAATGTCTGAACCTTCCCTGTAAAACCATGATAGTTTGTGGAAAAGGCTAAGTTACATTTTGTTTTAGATGCCACTGATAGACATAATTTAAAAAGGCTAAAACTGAATGATAGCTTGTGTTTAGCACTTAGGAGTTGAGCAAGTCAGTCTGCTTTGTGATACACACTGATGTTTATGTTTGGTTCTATTGGGCTTTAACTTTGACGCATGATATGTTTGGGAAGAAAAATAAATCTAGTCTGTTTTCTTAGAGATAATCGATTCTCTGTATTTGTACTTGGCTGACAGGGAAAAGACTCTGGTCTTCAGCATAAGCTTTTGGAATCAGACTTCACCCTGACAATTGGAAATTGCGAAACAGAGCTGGCTATGAGGATTAATTGTGCTGCCTACGAGGGGGATCTCTATCTTTTGAAACATTGGGTTGAGTCAGGACTAGATCCCAACAGAACTGATTATGATGGAAGATCACCTTTGGTACGAACTTCATGCACCCAGCTTATTCGTCCATGAATCACTCAGCATTGAAACTTACTGCGCTGGCTCTTTTCTTCATTAGGCATAAAGAAAAAGAGCATATAAAATGTCTCGGTCTTTCTACAAAATTTTTATCAATGGTAGGTTGGGTGAAGCTTATTCTTAAAAGAAGGGGGGGGGGGGAGCTTAAGGAATTCACTGATGAAATGAATCGGATCAGAAGGGTGATGCCAAACAATTAGTAGTCTAAGCTTTATAGGTCAATTTCAAGCCTACGGTGCTGGCTTCAACCTTTTTTTATTGCTACCCTCTTAAAATGAAAGAAGGTGAACAACAAGAGATAGTACTCGGTTATCGGATCTTTGTAAAATCCTGATGGAAAATGCCAGTGAGAAGCAGTAATAGTGCTAATTCATTTTTATCTTTGTTACCACAGCATATTTCTGCATCCAAAGGATATGTAGATATTGCTCGCTTTCTTATTGACAAAGGAGTGAATATTGATTTATCAGGTTAGCTGTTGAAATTCTAAACCATTTTTGTGAATTTTAGTAATCACAATTATTTTTTATTTGAAGACGTTATTATTTAGCAAAACACTGTTTTACATTTTAATGAACCGTTTGTACTAGACAAGTTTGGGAATACTCCCTTGTTTGAAGCCATAAAGAATGGGCATGAAGAAGTAGCCTCTTTACTTGTAAATAATGGGGCTACTCTTGCCATTGAAGACGCTGGAAGTCTCCTATGCATGACTATTGCAACGAAGGAACTGGACCTTCTAAGAAAGCTTTTAGCCTATGGTATAAATCCAAATTCTAGAAATTACGATCAACGAACAGCTCTTCACATAGCTGCCTCGGAGGGTTTGTTCACAGTTGCTGAAATGCTCATAGAAGCAGGAGCAAGTGTTTTATCAACGGACAGGTATGATCTGAATTTTGATTTATTTTTGTTAGCCGAGAGTTCAATGTGTCACTACCACCTCCTAGTGTTCAGCTGTACGTCTAGGTCATTCTTAACTTGGAAAACTCCTGGAATAGCATTTTGTAATGAATTGTAATGTAAAATCATTGACCATTTTTTGCTTGCAGGTGGGGATATACACCACTTGATGAAGCTCGCATAGGTGGAAACAGGAACATGATCAGATTGCTTGAAGTGGCAAAAATTTCTCAGCTGACTGAGATATCAGATGATATTCAGGAAACACAAGGTATGATGGATGTTATGTTTCTCTAGTACATAATACCATCACAAACACACACACACACACACATGTATATATATTTCACACAGTCCTTCTGGTCGCGACATATGTTAAATTCTCAAGCAGCGTATGGTAATATTCTTATGTAAATTTAAGATGTTAAACTGCCACAAACACAAACATTTAGAATATTGGAGTATCCTATAATAGGTAGTTGAACACTGAGCTTTGTCTGGAAAGACAAATGTATTCAAAATATGCACGCAATGCTTTAGGATGTGAAATCTTGAATTGCCATTATCATGCATTCTTGCGTAAATATGATATTATGATTCTAAACACAAACATCTATGATATTGGAGTATCTCATAAGTTATCAAACTTGTTATCATGAAAATTAAGTCACACTACACCTATACATTTGGAGAGAAAATATACATGACATATACATTTCATTTTTATATCTGTATTATTATTATTTTATTCGGGCAAGCAGCCTGACATATATACATGCACAGAGATAGCAGAAACACTTGTCTCGACATCTAGAGATGTAAATCCGAAAAAGAAATGCACGGTATTTCCTTTCCACCCATGGGATCACAAAAAGGATGGAAGGGTAGGAGCTGTCCTGTGGGTTCCTGGAAGCATTGAAGAGCTAATAGAGATGGCAAGAGAACAATTCAAGTCTCCAAATGGTTCCTGCATTTTATCTCAGCATGGGGGTAGAATTCTTGATGTAGACATGATCAGCAATGATGAGCCGCTATTTCTAATAATTGAACCACACATTGAGGGCCAAAGAAAAGAAGAAGAATGTTCTGCCCATCCTAATGAGCAGGAGCAACACTAAAGACAAGCGACATCTCTTTTCTGCTAAGAAGAGTAGATAAGACAAAAAATCTGAGATACAGAGTCGAATATTCTCAAATATCAAGGACATGTGGGAGATTTATTTACATAATAGATAGATTCTGAAGTATCGAAATGTAGGGTTTATTTATTGGGTTTACCTAGCAACTTGACTTTTGATCTTTTGTAACCTTGTCCTTTATACTGGCTGTTGAATAGGGTGAGAAATAAAAGTATGGAGACATAAAAGGGCTCGTTCTGCCCATGCATTGACGAAGTATCTCTTAAATCATGATTTGATTCACCGATGAACACATCGCAGGATTGTTCTATTTAAATTAAATTAAATTCTGCACGTGTTCTCTGTTCCTACCAACCTGAATTAGGAACCCTGGAAAGTATTTCTAGTTCTAGAAGAGCTGGAACATCAAAATCATTGGCTTTGTAAAGGTACGTAATTAAATAATATTTTAACAGGTGCGTTAGAAGTTTGACAAATTGTAAAAAGGAGAAAATGGAGATATATAATTGGATTATTTACTACAAACACAGATCAAAAGTCAAATAACTTTTGAAAAAAGTGATGAATTCGCCGAAAAGAAAAGTGGGATTGAGATGGGCAATGAGATTTAAAAATAATACTAAATTGAAACGAGATAATGAACATGGTTAATTATTATACATAATTATATATTATGACTGTTATGAAGAATATGGAGTGTAATTAATAACCTTGTCCGCAAGCAACATAGAACTCAATGGTTGGAAAGTCTTAACGACAAAGAGATCTTCTATCACTTGCACAAGTTGAGTTCTAAAGTCAAAGATAGCCTCCCTCAGTCTCTCTGTTTTAACACCAAGGGGTATTTATATATTTTGGGAGTCCCTGTTTGGAAGATGAATGCGCAACAAAATGCATGAAGGCAAAACTGATTGATGAAGAAGGAAAGATGAACAGGTGGGAGAATGCGAGCGCGGGGAATGTCGTCTGGCCCGAGATTGCTTATAAAAGGTACGAGTTTCTCGGACCAGGCTTCATTCCCCTCACTCCCTCTTCTCTTTCTGAGATTTTCTGAAACTTTTTATATCTGTCGAATGAATGAGCTCACAAGTTTAAACCCTGATGACACTTGTGAATGTGTGGTAAGTTTTAAATTTCCATGTCTTTACTGCAATGCAAGCCAACCAGCTCAAATAGCAGCATGCTTATTTGCAGACGTGCAAAAATAGGAAGGCTCAACTGTGAACATGATATGATGTTGCAGAGATCAGGACATGGTGCAGTTATTTCACACTTAAACAAGTAAATCAATCCCCACGCACTTAACATATTTGTCCATCTTTTGATGCGATGAATCAACTCAACCCCAATTATTTTAACTATCAGGATACACTCATACGTGCATGCATCTAGCTAACTGTATTATTCATGGCTTGTATTGCTCCTACAGCTTCACACAATTGTTTTTTGAAAACTTAGGACCCGTTTCGTTGTTGAAGTACAAGGGATGAGAACAAAATGTCTCCATTTTAGCATGATGTGCCGATTATACATTTATCTTAGCATTATCGTTGCCATAACACAAATGTGGAAATCAGCACATTCTTCGTAAGCTTCATGTATCATAACTCCCAACTCCAAGAATTCTCATTTGAACTGAATCGCTCATGGATGCTGTTCACCTATCTACATTCCACATTTTAGTTATTTTATTTTTATTTCTTTTTCATTCTATCACTCCTCCGATCCTAAATATAAGACCCTTATACAATGTGTATAAGGGTCTTATATTTAGGATCGGAGGAGTATTATTCTTCCCAACAACCAAACAAGCTTTTTAAGTTTATATGTGTATAAGGGTCTTATATTTAGGATCGGAAGAGAATTACTCTTCCCAACAACCAAACAAGCTTTTTAAGTTTATATACATTGGTCATAAACAATCTGTCACTACACCCAAAAAATCATTATTTTACCCTGATAATTTCATGTCATCAATGTTGTAATAATCCTCATTCCTTTATTTCATTTCCCTTAAAAAGAAATTACAAGTAGTGTTTAATAAAATTTGTTTTAAAAAGCTTCAACTTGTAAATATGTAAATAACTAGTTACCTACCAAAACTAGCTGTATAGTTGTGTTTAAAATATCAAACCAGCACATGTTGGTCATTTGAATACCATCTTCAATCCTTAATCTAAAACCTAATTGACTAATTTGAGTAAATTACGGAAATTCATTAAGTTAGTTATTTATAATAAATAAATATTATCTTTTCTAAAATAACCTTTCTAATTATGTGTATTACTAGAACTACTATTTGATAAAACTTTTAGCATGTGCAACTATTACAAAGATTACTTTAAAAAAAATAAATAAATATGAAAGATAAAATAAATTTGGATATTATATTTAGGATCAAATTAAATATCAAATTAACTATTATATTAAAAATCAAAGGTAGTAACATGTTTTGTTACATTTTCTTCCTAGACAAGGGACTATTGGGTATTAGTGGGAGGTACTTCTTCTTCTTCTTTTTTTATACGAGGTACTTCTTCTTCTAATGGTAGGTATTTCTTCTTCTAATAAGAATTTAAACTTTAATTTGTGTCATTCTGAATACCTAAGGTCGTGGTTGCCATCATGTTAGAAATTATTTATAAACATATTTTACGTAAATCGAGATAAAATTCTTTTCACATATTAAAAAACTACTTATAAACTAACTTCTTTTTTTTTGCGAGATTCAACCCATTAGTTGTCTTGTTACAAAATTGATTTAAGGCTAAAGTATATACATTTGGTCCTTTAACCTTACGTAAGGTTTCGGTTTGATCTATTAACTTTAAAAAGTATACTTTTAGTCCTTTAACTTCAAAATTATTAGTCTTAAATGATATTTTTTGTAACAATTATGAAAGTTTTAAATATTAAACTTAGTATGTTAGTATTTAGCAATATTTTATCAGCATTCAAAAGCTCAATATCATCATTTTTTGTTAACATCTTTGGGGTTAAAGGACTAAAAGTTTGCTTTTTAAAGTTAAGAGACTAAAATAAAATCTTATGTAAAGTTAAAGGAATAAAAACCAATAAACAAAAAACTAGTTTGGATCGGCCGGTGAATGGGTCAGTAGACTGGTTTGGTTTGAATACTAAACCGGGAGGGAGTTGAACTGGTAGAGAACCGGTCAAACCGGTAGAGAATTGGTCAAACCGATTTAAACCTGTGTGAACAAGTAATTAACTGGTTTGAATGATTAGGTTGTTATTAGTCCTATTTTTTCTCATGCAGCTCCTAATATATCAGTCCCTATAGATTTAAATGAATTTTAATGATAATTTTAGTATCAATGAGTATTAATTTTAATTAATGATGAACCATAAAGATCAAAATTTTCAATATTGTTATACTTTGTTATTGTTACAATCAAATTATTGTTATATTTTCTTATATTTTGTTAGTAGTGATTGTCAACGGTGTTATATTTTTTTATTTTTAATTAAATTATATTATTTTAATATGGCCAGTTGGATCTTAAATTGACCCAATTCAACCAATTGATCTTTAAATCATTATCTCAACCGATTTAGTGTCCGGTCTGGTTTTTTGTTTCTCGACAAAAACACACTTCAGATTTAATTTAACGAAGAAAAACATGTGTCATGGATGGGATATGTCGTGTCAGCTTACTATGCAACACGCATTACAGGTCTGAGGCCCACAAATTCGAGAAGTTGCTGGAGCTTCGAAGCAAAGCATCTTGGGGCCGAAAAAGGACCCCCGATAATCGACATCAGATTACCAAAACATTGAGTCGAGCAGAACATATATTCATTCCGCTTGGCATTTCCGGGGGAAGGTTCACCGAATGGCGCTGCAGTGGATGATTCTGACGTACGTGGTGGCAGCGGAGGCCGCCATCGCCGTTCTCCTCACTCTGCCCGCACCCAGGCTCTTGAAAAACCGTTTGGTTTCCCTTGTTTCCCTAATCTTACAACCTGCTCTCTTCATCGTCCCCTTCGCCGGCTTCCAGATCCTTGGTATTCTCTTATTTCTTTTATGGAATTATTTCTTGATTTGGTTCATACATGGGGATGCCCTTGTTTTTTGTTCTTCTGGGAAGGGGAATGGATATGAACGCAATTATTTTCAGTTTACGGTTTCCGGATGAAAAGTTAGGAAACTGAATCAAGTTAGAAGATGGATAATTCCTCGCTTTCTTTCTTTTTGCTGTTGCCTGTGCTCAAGTATCTCACATTCTTGCGAGATCCGTATGGGTGATCGCGGCTTTTGGTTTTCCTGAAAATTGATTTGTGATGTTTTCAGATTTATACTGGAAGAATGAACATCGATTGATGTGTACTTCCGAGGTTTGTACTGCTGCGGAGCGAGACCGATACGAGAAATCTGTAAGTACCTTAAGTAGCATTGCTTAGGTTCTGCGCTGCTCGTATGGCACTTTGGATTGCTTAGAATTTGGATCATTGGGTGTGGAAATTTTGTTGAACTCATTGGTCCTGTTTGTTAATTAAAAATGAGGAATGAGAATTGGGATTAAAGTGAAAAATTATATTAAAGGAGTGTTTAGCATGAGTAATTGTTTGATACTTGAAATTAGACAAATTCATATACCTGGTATTGGGGAAAGCGGGAAAAACATGGGGGGAGGTGGTATTCTTCAATCGGGATTGCCTAATTCCATGTGATAAGAAATCACCCATACTAAACATCTTTTTAACACGTTTTCAATCCCAATTCTAGTCTTTACTCCTTATTTTCAATGTTCGTATCAAACGGGACCATTGTTCTTATTTCTTAGCAATGTAACTTGTGCTCGTTCGACGCACGTAATCACTGATGGCTTTAAATGTGCGATGCTGGCAGATTACATTCACCATCGTTTGTAAATTAGCTTCCCCAATTAAGATAATGTTAATTGATAATGGTGTTCTGTATGCTATGGTTTACATTATTCACATGTTACTAGTTTTTATAGGAGAGAAAAAATTTTGTTTGGCCTTGTGTCCTTTCATGATGTGTCAGTAGCGTTGTAGCAAAGGAAATTGGAATTGTGAAATACTCAAGTGAGTGATAGTGTTTGCTGTGTTCTGTGGCTTGAAAGACCTTTTAACGCATTCATGTTGCAAAATAACTACAGGAAGCCCCAAACTAGGGCTATGGAAACTTTTACTTAGGTTTCAGATATCGTTTCCAGTAGTTTTCTTAAAGACTACTTTCTATGTTTATCTTTTTACAATGATATCTATAATTATGACCTTTCAAATCTTTTTGGGTTGGAGATTTTTCCCCCCTTCTGTAGTGTACTGCCAAGAGCATACAATTTTCTCGTCTTTAATGAAAACCATGGTATTAAAAACCGGACCAGACCGGATCGGCTAGTTTAAATCGGAAACCGACGACCTGGCACTTGGTCTGGTGCGGTTGATGTGCAGACTCTGGAGAAATTGGACTCGAGGTAACCTGGTATGAACCGGTGTGACCCGGGTAAGCCATTGAGTTAGGCAAGTTACCTGGGTTATTTTTTTGAAACTTTAGGCGTCACAGATGACGGAGGCTAGAGATCTAGATTGATGAGGGAGGAAGACGAAGAAGAAAGGGAAGAATAATATAAATCACGATGCTTGAAAAAAAAAGAGAGACCTGGACCATTTTACTAACTACGAACCCAAGACAGTGGAGGTTGAAGAAGAAAAAGAAGTTGACCAAGACCCATTGCTGAAGATCTCAGTGAAACCACTAGAAGAAGGGGCCATGTTGCGAAATCTAAAGACTAAGATAAGAAGATGATTAAAATATTAGGTGAAATAAAAAAGATTGCAAAGGGAAAAAGAAGATGCAAGATCTGAAAATGAGATAAGAAGATATTCGGTAGATGGAATGGAAGAATGTAGAGAAAGAGGAAAGAAGAATGAAAACCAAAGTGTCGTCGGGAACTATGGGTAGTAGCCTAGTAGGTACTTGCTTTGGAGTCCCATTTCCCAATATATGTTAATAAAATGAAATAAAATTTGAGCATGGGTATCAAGATGAAAGAAGCATTGGTTTAACTGACAAACAAAGAGAAAGAAGCGTTGGGGTCGAAGGGTCAAAGAAAAAAAAAAGACTACACAAGTAGACGCCATTAGAAGACCTTAGTAAACTATTTTAAATATGATATTACTCTTTTGCCCTTCAAAAGTCCTTTAAGGAGGTGTTTGGATGGAAACCAAACTATAGTTTTAGAACTGATTTTACAGTATACGAAGTAACGAAATAAATATGTGAAGGAATTTATCTTGATTTGCGGAAAGGTGCGTTTAACAAACACATCTTATGACATCCAAACACGCCCTTAAATCACACTTCGACTTTAATTAAACTATATTGTTTAATTATGACCAGTCTAATTTTAATCTGATCTTAGTCTGACTCACGAACCTTTAAACTATTGCCTCAACTGGTTCGGTTTTTAGTATAGTGATGAAAATTATTATTACATATGAGTTTTTAGTACAAAAAGCTTGTCATTTCTTATCTTTGCTAGTCCATTGTTTGTAGTTTCTAACATCCTTGTTTTGCTGCTTTCGTGGTTTGGTCTGTTTCTTAAATATCCAAAAGCGTCTCGATGTGAAAGAAAAAAAATGTTTGAACCTAGGAAACTAGAGATGGTTGAGCCCTGGGAACTATGCTGTGATATCGAAAGCACTGCCGACATTTTTTTTTTTCTTGCTTTGCTTGAATAGTTTGCCGCACCATTTTCTCTAGACTAGAAACTCTCCTTATGCGCTGGATGGGGAAAGGAACAATTGATTGCAAAGATATTAAAACTAGTATGGCAAAATGAAAGATAATCATAGAAGAAAAATTGAAAAATGCAAAGTTATCTTGATTGACAAAATGAAGAGACCTCCTACATATATTTACACAACATGCTACAAGTATGAAATGATGCAAACTTTATTAAGACATGTTAGTAGGAAATATTCAACCAAAAGTAATGTCACCATTCGTCATCTTTTGGTCATGGTAGCTAGGGGTGTGTATGAGACCCGCATGCCTAATATGCCCGTCTAAGTCCGCAGAAAAAGCACCCTGCCTAGCCCAGCCTAAGAAAAAGTTGCCCAAATAAAAATAGGCATTTTCGGGCAGGATTGATTCATGGGCAGGGTAGGGCCGCGAGCAGGGCATGCTGTCTTGCCTATTTGGCCCTACCCGAAAAAATATATAATTATATATATTATAATATTATTTTTAGCCATTATTCCTTTTTATTTTGGTTAAAAAAAATAGATAATAGCAGAAAAAATGAAAGGAAGATAAGAATTATAATTATATAAAAGAACCAAATAACAAAATATAAGATTAAATATACTAAATTGTTCCTAGTCAAATTTCTTTCTTTTCCTCTTACCTCCAATTTTTTTTTTTTTTTTAAATTAAAACCACCTTCCAAATCTTGCGCTTTCAACTATATGAATGAACTAAAAAATGAATGAACTAAAAAATTGAATTACTGAATTAACTCAGTTATTAAATGTTTTAATTATTAAATATTTTTTTACCTTCCATAAGAAATTGAAGGCTGAAGAATAATGCATATAAGTGATTGAGTCATTCATGATAAATTTTTTTCCTCTCATCTTGTCTCAAAGCATGATAATTAAATTTTTCACATATGATATGGGCAAGGTGTCATTATGTTGGGCAAGAAAGCCCGCCCTTGTCTAGCCCAAAATAGTTTGGGCTTCTACTAGGCAGGGTCGGGCAGCTGGTGGCAAATGCAACCCGCTTATCTTTCAGGTTGGGCATTGGACAAAGGGTTTGTCCTGTTCAGCCCTGCCTATGTGCAGCCCTAATGGTGGCAACAAGTTTGTTGAGTTTGAAAGATTTGTTAGGACATTACAACTTATGAAAAGTAAATATTTGTTAGCAAGATTGTAAAGTAATCAATAAGCAATACAATAACATAATAGTAGTAAAAAATACACCTTCTATATGTTTGATTTTAGTGTGTTGAAGAACAACAGGAGGACGGCTGATTCTGTATATTCTTTGGAATTCTCTATATGCAATCGCCGCGGTTTTATCATGAAAAATAAGGGCCATGGTATTATTGCTAAAATGGAAACAAAATTGTAGCAAGTAAATCGGAGCTAAACTTTGTAATATTAGTAGCGATATTGTAATTAAAAAGATGCAATTAATAATAATCTTACTCTGAATTAGTTAACTTGAATTCAAGACATATTGTTGTTGTGACATACTCCTTTGGTTCTATTTATAGGGCAAAGAGAGAGAAGATATTTTTTTGTTGTATTTATTGGGCACTAAAATTTTTTTTTGTATGAATGTATAATTTTATTTTTTATTTATTATTATGTTGACTTTATTTATATGAGATATAGGGTATATTGAGTAAGGATAAAACTGAAAGTTGTTAAATTTTAAATGAAAGTTAATAAAATTTAAGGTTTATTTTGGTCTGTGTAAAACATATTAGAAGTGACTTATGAATAGAACCAGAAAAGTAACATTCTTGTAATGGTTCAAATGATGACATGAAACTTGATTACTAATATTCAAATCCTTTTTATAAGATTTTTGTATGTTTAGTCTTAACTTGCTCTCCCTTGGTTTAAAATGTGTCTAGTGTATTTTAGGTTTAGATTTATTTAAGTTTGAAATCATCTGAATTTTGCATTGGACTTTTAATTTGCTCAATTTAGCCCCATGATCTAGTGGCATGTCTATTTTCTCTCTCTCTCTCTCTGTTTTTTTTTTTTTTTGCCCCTACAGCAATGTACATGTACAGTGTTGACTTCTCTTGTTTTGGTGTATTAACGTAGCTCTATAAAGCTCAAAGAAACGTGATTCTATGTGCTTCAGCATGTCTTCTATACTGGTAAGTAGTAATTTAACAATGGGCTTAGGCCCCATTTTCACCCAAAAAAGAAAAACAATTTTACAGTCCTTGTGGGATGGACGGGTCTTAGTTATCTTTTGGGTTTCCGACTCCGAGCTGAATGTATATGAATGTGGTGGCAGGTCTATCTACCGGATATGCAAGTATCAGAAGGATATCCAAAGTCTGGAGGAAGTGGAGAAGAGAAGCAAGGAGCAGTAGGATTCTCGTCAATCCGTTGTGTTAATTGAGGATTCAGTCTCTTGTTATAGTCTGGCCTAGACGCTATGGACATGAAAACGTAATTCACTAAATCATCCGTAGCTCTAAATCTCCAATCATTTTGTGCTGGTTGAAATCATAACATTCTGCAGATTGTGTAGTTCAATCTTCTCCTCTCTTCTATCGAATCCTTTACCCTTGTCCGTATTTTTTTCAATTGAAGAAATGAACCCCAGTACAACATTTTTAAGGTGCCAAAAATAAACTTGTGTGGTGAAAATGATACATTTTTCATTGAACTGCTCTTTTGATGTTTAATTAAATTAAATTTAGCTAGTATGTTTAATTTAAACTATGAAGGGTGGTTACATAACTTTTTCTTCTCAAAAGCTCTAAAAATCAATGTTTGAGGGTGAAGAAGTCAAGTATTCTCTTGACCTTTGTAAAATGAACAAAGAATGAAGGTGAATGGCGGCACATCCTTATTCATTTATAATTTTAGAAATATATGCACACAATTACGTTAATTGAACAGAGTATGGTTGTTACATAACCTTTTCTTCTCAAAAGCTCTAAAAATAACGTTTAAAGCTGATAAATTCAAATATTATCTTGACGTTTATAAAGTGGTCAAAGAAATTTTTGTTTGAATTTATTTATTTATGATGCCCGTTATACTTTTATTTTCTTGAATTCAACTTTTTATGGCCCCTCTACTCAGCAGGAACTAGATCCTTTCCACACTTTCTTCCAATTATCTTCTGAATACACAAACTAGAAGGCTAGTTTTATTTCATAATTGAGGAAATAAGATGATAGCTCATTCAAAGGATTTTTTGAACCTTTTTTTAGCATGAATTTCATATTTGATATACTTTAATCCAAGTTTCCTTATTGGTTCATCATGACAAGTTTCTATGGCCTATGAAAAAGAGTCACTCGAATGACTATGGAACTAACTCTCAAATTTCATCTTGACTTAATTGCATATTGAAAATGGATGGGATCCATTTCATACCTGATATCAGATTTTCAACAAGTGGTCATAGCATGAGTTTATTCATTAGAGATGAAAGCCAATATTTGCAGCAAATAAGTGATGAGATGAACTTTGACAAAGCCCAACCGATAGGTTTTGGCAAAACTTGAAAATGAAGTCATTCAGGATATTGAATGTGGAAGATGTGAGTGAATGGTGATGCGATTGCAAAGGCTAAAAGGGTGAAGTTAGAATGTTAGAGAATCAATCACAATATTAATTAAGTCAGAAATGAATAAAAATAAATAAGCGAGAACGGAAAAAATTAGTCACTCAAAACGTGATGAATCATTATTCAAATTCTTATTAAAAAAATTACATTTAATGTCTGAAAGTGTCTCAAATGAGATTATTTTTATTAAGAGAATACCTGTGCTTAGTTAAAAAAAATGAAAATGAAATTCCAGAATTAGAGATGAGGCTCGAGATAGAATAAGAAAATGGAGGGAACGGGTGTGTAATTGACAAAGGGGTTGGTCGGTGGGAGCATGATGAGGCGTGTCCTTTCAGTTGATGAGAGCCGTACAATTGGATGATATATCTGCCCCTCTGTCTTTGGTTGCTCTTTTCCGTAAAGTCAAACACGTTTATGCTGACTACATTATTTAGTAAATATATTAATTCTAACATTTTCTCATGCCCCTGCGCGTTTCCCACTTATGTGCATGTACGGCGCTTCTCACCTCTGTCTTCTACGCCCATGTATCATTAATCTAATTACTCAGAATAATCTTGTATTCAAACAAGAGAGCGTGGATAAATAATGAAGGGAAAATCCTACAAGTGGGTAGCATGTTCCTACTATTGATATATACTGTGTGCTTATTAGGCATGTGATAAATATGCTTAGTTTAAGTTTAGTTAATCAGTTGAAAAAGATTGGACACATGTTAGAGCAAGTTGTGTACTCAAAGTTGCAAATCTCGTCATTTTGGATAATCAGATTTATGGAGTTTAAGCATTTTTCCTTCCTAAATCTTAGTTTCTAGCATGGTATCAGAGCCAGACATTATTGTCTAACTCAAATCATCGCCGAAACATCAAATACTGCTAGGAATTAGGATTCAGAGAAAAAAATGCTTAAGCTCCACAAATCTAATTATTCAAAATGATGAGATTGACAATATAAAGTTGTTCAAAATATGCAACTTGTTCTGCCACATCTATATCTTCTTAACTGATTAACTAAACTTAACCTAGACATATTTATCACCTGTCTAGTATTGATTATTTGTTGTGAGACTTTTTTATGATTATATTGAGATTTGATGATTATTTTCCAAAAAAAAACACAGAAAAGGTGAGCAAAATGAAATGAAGAGGGATTTGATGTTGATGTGAGTGAGGAGTGAGTGTGAATATGAAGGAGGTTTTCCCACTACGCCAGAATTGTTTTGGAGCAAAACTATTGGCACTATTATTCCCTGCGGCCGTCTCTCGGCTGTTTTTGTGCGTCATGGTTCCCACGTTTCTCACATTTCTCACAATCTCATTTCTCTATTTTGTCATGTGATTATTATTGCAGTAACTCTTTCTATCTGGTCCAAAAAAAAAAACTCTTTCTAAATGTGTATGTCGTCTAGCTAACTCTATCTTTCTCATTAACCAACCAATCATCAAAGATTTGATTTCATAGTTTAGATTTACAACTAGCAACTGCTTCAAAGTTCCATTTCTATCCCCTTTTTTTTTTGTGTGGGAAACTAAAAAATAGAATTATGTCATTTTTTAAAAAATAGTTACTATGTAAATTTTGTTTTGAAAAATACTTCGCTTAAATTTCTTATATCTTTTATGTCAAATTCTTCAATTACACATTGTCACATGTTATTTTTCTTTCATGTAGGTTTAAAATTAAATGATAATATTTCAAAAACAGAACATAAGTGTCATTGAAAATTTTAACATAATAAATATAAAAAACTTGATATAATAAAAGTATTGTTCGTTTGTTTGTCGGAAAATTTTATACCACACGTATACTCTTAAAATATGGTTAGAGTAAGAGGAATAAATATCAAGTGAACATACACACACACACATATATATTCAAGATTGCAAAAGCTATGCCAACATATTTTAAAAATTCAAATAATTTATGAAGATAAAAAGTTTAAAATGTCTTCAATGAATGAAGACACTAAATGTCCCCCCCCCCCCGGTAAGTTACTGCCTAAACTTCTAAGTACCACGTGATTTTTTTTTAAAATATTACTCTCTGACCAGATTTTAAATTTCATACTATTTCGCTTTCCAACTTGATGAAAAGTTTGTACGTGCGAGCTGTACAATATAAGAAATTCATTAATCAATCTGTTTAATATTTTTACGTAAATTTTTTCAGGGTTGTAAGAAATTCCAAAATTATGAGCATAACATAATAATGTTACCACCCAGGCACACACTAGTTACGAGAGTTTTATGATTATGATCATCATCATCATGTTTATTTGTTTATCTTAAGAATATTTTCCTCGGCAACAAAATTAAAATAGACATTAAAAAAAGAAATATGAACTATGAGTCTTAAAAATGATTGTATAAGTATATCAATCTTTTTTATTTTTTTGAGAGTAGAGGGGAAAATATCGCGCTTGTTTGTTTGTTTTTTTGTTTTCTTGTTTTTAAAACAATTTTATAAAAAAAAATTTATAACAAGTTTTGAAAACAAAAAACAAAAAATTTTGTTTGGATAATTTTAAAAAGAACCCATAAAAAACCACACTTACTAGATGATCATTGTCATTAATAATAATAAGTGGTGGATAGTAGTTAAGAAAAAAAATTTCTCAAAAATTTTCAAAAAAAAAAACATGAAAACAAAAGCAGAAAAAATGCCAAAGCTGTTTTAGTTTTTTTATTTTTAAAAACATGTTACTTTTTTTTTTTAAAAAAAACAATCAACTAAAAACAATTTATCAAACAAAGTCTTTTGTTTTTCTGTTTTTAAAAATTAAAAACCAAACAAGTCCTCATTACTCAAAAGATAATCACAAAAGGATCAGTTTGTGTGAATAGTAAATACGGGTCCTAGCCACCATATGTAGATCTAATTTTTACCAAAGGACTAAAGTATAATTTTCTATTCCCTATTTTCACTCACCCTGCCGCCAGCCGCCAGCCGCCCCGCCATCAACCACCCTTTGCGGTAGCTGTCTGTACTTTTTTAATGGAGGCAGCGGTAAACTATATTAATACTATCTCTAGTTTTAATTATAAGATTTTATTTTTAATCTACAAACGAGATATTACAATTAGAATAGGAGATATTATCTGAAGAGATAATAATTTTCTTATAATATAAATATCTTGTAATCATGTAAGTAAAACCTCTAACCCGGAATGCAAATTTGTCTTCCAAAATATGAACTTCATTTTTCTTCCTATTATTCCAAAAAAATCGTAAAAATTTAAAGGACCAAAATCAGCATGATGTTCCTGGCAAAAAAAAAAAGTAGTACAGTGTTAGTTAAAATCTGTTTCAGCTCCAATACTAAAAAGAAAAATAAATACAGTTGAACACTTGCACGCGTGGGCGGAATCAATAAATAACGGGAATATTTATATAATTAAGAATTTAAGATGGGTAGTGAACAGATGGAAATTTAAAATATAAAAAGAAGGGGAAAAAAAAAGCAGCAAAGCTGGGGAAATTTAAAAGCAAGAGAGAAAGGGAAGTGGGAGGGCACTCCATTTTGAAGTTAGGACATGTGCATTGAATTAGAAACACATGCCCAGAAAAGGACTTCCCTCCCTCTCATCTCACCCACTTTTCCATTTGCCTTTGAGACGCATGTTTTGACTTCAATGCTCTCCCCAACCCAACTTCGCTCCTACCTTCATTTCATTAACTACAATTTTAATTCCAATTGATCCCACCAGCAGGTTAGGTCTAGCAGAATAGGTTAGTTTTTTATGATATGATAAACTAAAGTTTAAATTTTTACTGAGAGAAGTACTCACATTTAGTACTCGACAATATTTTAAATAAATAGAATTGTCTCAAATAGAAAGATATCTATGTTTAAAAAAAAAAATTCATGGATTCCACACATTACTTTGGTCTCTGTTATAAGACACCTCTAACCATTTCATCGATGGAACAGAAAGATTGTTGAGTTGTTAAATTTGTTTGAAAATAATTTTGTTTCTCAAATTTGTCCATGATTAAAATCATGAATTGATCTTAAGAGACCAGAAAGAAAATTTTGCATCAAATTTTAAATAGAGAAGAGACTTTTTTTAAAAAAAAAAATGTAATTAGTAGTAGTGCCTCACTTGATGGCTCATAATAAGGGCTGTTTAATCCTAGTTTACCAAAAAAAAGAAGAAGAAGAAGAAGCCTTGTAATAGGAACTGGAGAGACACCTAATGTAAAATGTTTCAGCGTTGTTTTTGTTTCATGTCAAAGTTATTCCTCAACGGAATGAAGAAACAATTTGGCTTCTTTACAAAATGAGATACATCTCTGTTTCTCTCTATTGTAATTGAGAAAGAGAGTGACAGTTCAGTTTTAAATTTAAATTTAGAATATGAAATGTTTAATTTAATTTGCATATGATTTGTAATTATCGATCTCTGGAAAAAAAAAGAAAAAGAAGAAGCCATATTGATGACACAATACGATAATTGCATGAAAGAGACCGCAATTGGACAATCTAGATCTTGAACACAAGAAGACTAAAAATCCTAATACATGTACAATTTCATGAACCTTCCTTTCCTTTTCCCCCTCTTTATTCATTAATTAACCTTAATTGTTAATACAACGTTTGCAACTGTAAACATGCGTACGTATGATCCAGATCCTCCTCCTAGTTCTTTGTACTTTGATTATTAATAGTTTAATCACAGTAGAAATTGTTCATATGAAACTACAGGATTCACACGCAAAAAGAAATTAAATATAAAAAAGAATTCTTAATCAAGACTTAAGTTCAATATTTTGCCCTGTACAATAGAGTACTTGAATACGCATCACGTGTGCTTAATGCCTATCTACATTATTAGACTTAATCATATTACTCCTCTGGTTCTTAATATAGGACCCAATTGTGAGTTGGTCTTAAATATAAGACCCATTTCTCATATTTATCAATTTTCTCTAAATACCCCTATTGATACTCCCTCAATAATCAAGTAGAAGAGGGAGATTAGAGAAAAGATGATTATGGTATTTTAGGAAAAATGTCATATCTTATAATTAACTAACTTACCTAACTTCCTTAATAATCAATTAGTTAAACTTATATTAAGGACCGGAGGAGTATAATACACGGATTAGATGAGAATGAGAAGACAAAGGAATTGTCAAACAAATGTGAATCCATTATCTTAATCTTTAATTTAAAAATCAGAAACGAAAATTATTAGAAATTAGAAAATAATAGCAAAAGCATAATAAGCATTCTCATTCTCCTAGCTACATTTGCTTTCATACCAAACCCAGTGGAGGGAAGTCCAAAACAATAGAAGGTCACACCAGTTGTTAGTTTTTCTCAAAAGTGGTTAATTGAAATGATTACTTGTGATGCAATTAATTAATTAATTAATTAATCATCCCCCAAACAATTCTTGTGATCCAATTATGTTAATACTAAACAACCAGAGGCCAATAACAAGGAACGTTACAGAAACAAATCATTCTGCTATTACTCTTATCATCTTATTGATATTTACAAAAAGAATCCAATCTTAATTATATCTACCCTGTCAACTTGTGATGTCTTGGCAACAAAATTTTACTAATTACACACAATAAGGCTAATTAAAACCTGTAAATCAAAACACATTTTGAAAAAAGAATGATTTTAACAATCTTAACTAATGTGATCTCTTTAGGTTCTTGAAATCTGAGTCTACACAATCCACGCCTGAGCCATATCGATTCAGGAGTTTGAGAAGCTCAGTTGCTTTCACCTTCGTTTCATCGCCACATCCAATCTGCAAAACTAACAAAAGCTTCTGAAACGCACCGACTTGCAGTGCTTCAATCGGAACGCTTTTTCCTTCTTCTTCTTCTTCTTCTTTCTCTGCTCCATTCTTGCACAGCCTCCATATTGCAGAAACAGAGGAATCTGTAGCCATTGCTGAAACTCTCAGTATCTTCTTCACCAACACAGGGATCGTCAAGGCGTTATTGTAAGCTTTTTCTCTGCCTTCCTCGCAAGAGCAGAGTGAATCGAAAATTGCCAAAGCCTTCTCACAGAGGCTTCTTTCTGAGTCCAGGAGAATGTCCAGTAAAGAAGAGACCAAACCCAGTTGGATGAATCTCTGTTTCATTTTGTTGCTTGAGGAAGAGGATGATGAGACCATATAGAAAACTACAGCTAATGAAGCTTTTGTGATTGTTGGACTCAGTCTTTTTGTAATGAATTCCACCAATAGTTCGTTGACTCCTTCAATTTCTGCCAGAACGTTCAAATGGTCTTCGTTTCCAAAAGAGAGAAGCTCCCTGAGAGCAACAATGGACTTCTCTTTCCCTGCCAGATCTTGATGTTTCAGAAACCACACCATGCAACCTAACGAAGCTTGTGACCCCAACGATTTCTGGGCTTCCATTTGAAGTGGGAACATCCAATTCAGAGCAGACAAAATCTCTTCCAAAACACTCAGATTCTTCTCAATCGAATCATTCGCGAACGCGTCAAAAGCAGAGGCCAGAGCAGCAGTGGCTCCATTCTCAACTATACACTTCTTATTCCTTTCGCTCTCTTCACCCCATTTCTCCATTTTCTGAACCAAGTTGAGACACCCGTACTGATCCAAACGCCTCGCCGACGATTTCACAAGAAGAAGAAGCTCTTCGACTTGGACGGGGGAAATGGGAATTCTGGGAGTAGGGATTCTCTCGACCCCATGTTGTCGATTTTCAACACACCATTCCTGAATCATTATGCGAAGAGTGTGATTGGGAATGAGATCGAAGCTCCTGAGGACCTGGTTGGTAACGGGGCAAGTGAAATTGCCTTCAAGGAACCACCTTTCGATGTTATCACGATCGTAGGTGACGCCGGTGGACAATGTGACAGGATCTTTCATCAAATCGAGGGAAATCGGGCACCGGAAGTGGTTGGGAACGACGACCTCGAGCTGAAGTTTGTCGTTGCGACGGCCGTTCTTTCTTCTTCGCCATCCCAGAACCATTTGCAGAGGCTGATAACAGAAGACAAGACAATCGAGGAAACGAGGCAGGTCAGGTGATTGTTTTGAGGTTTAAAGATGGAGGCTTTTTATGATGGGAGAGAAAGGAAGGAGGGAGGATTTATATATAAGAGGGAGGTGGGAGGGGTGAAAAAAGCAGAGAGTCAGTGCATTCATACAAAGAGGGTTCAAAGATTGGACTCGAAGAAGCGTTCAAATTGACGAGTAAGAGAGTTTTCACGAGGGAGGGGTTTTGAATATTGACCATTCAAGATTTTGGAGAGCTTCAAATCTAAACCGTCAAAAGGAGGGAACCGGTAAAACCAACGCCCCTCTCTCTCTAGTCTTCAGTCTTCGCCCTCATATCGAAACGCTAACTCTAATCAAACTGGTTCCCTCTTTTGTTACGTTGCCATTCAAAACTAATTAATTAATTAGGATTAACCAATCGGGGCTGCGAGGTTGGATTTAGTGAAAAGAATTAGTTCCCACCACATAAGAAATCAAAATTTTAATCTTTGTTATGAGAAGTGCTAACATTTAGTATATGACAATAATACCTCATATAAGATTGCTTTCAATAGAAAAATATATATGCTTAAAAAAATTAATTAGGATTAACATAAATGTAAATTAGAGCATTAGTTAATTAACACTAAATGTGAGTCACTTTCTTAGTAAAAATTTGAACTTTGGTTTGCCTTTCTATAAAAAATTAGCTCTTTTTATTAAACTTAATCACATTGGTATCCTACAAAATTTAGTTATTGTTGCAGATCGTTTGGTCAAAAATATAACGCGGAATACTTTTTTGAGATTACAATCTCAGCCACGTATTACATTGAGTTATAAAAGTTACTGGTCGCAAATAATTAAAAGACAAATAATAATTAGAATTACAAGTGTCATGAAAAAAGAATAATAACAGCAATAAATATATACAAGCGTCATGAAGAAAAGTTTATTTAATAAGGTCAAAATTATAGACCTCCCTAAAATTGTAAGTTGTGGAGAAGTTGTTACATCCTTGAATTGTTATTTTTCCGCCCTTTGGATAATGTGTAAGAGTTGGTGTTATGCGTCTTCTTTTTTCTATTCTTGAGATTTTTTCGTAGCTTTTATTTTATATAGAAGTGATACTACAGTAATATTTGTTTTTGTGTTATATCTATATATAAAATGATGTTTATGTTCTTTTCAATAAATAATAGCCCAAATGTAGTGTAGAGATAAAATGCAAAGTACTACCTACGATCCTTAATATAAGAGTTTATTTAATTTTATTTTGGTCTAAATAAAAGACCCCAATCTATTTTGTCTCTCATATTTTTTTTTTTTCAAAGTAATCATTGTAATAACAGTAGTTCTAATCAGTATACTTGATTAGCAAGGATATTTTAAAAAGGCAATACTTACTTATTGCAAATAACTAATTTAATTAATTTTCTGCATCTACTCAAGTTAGTCAACTAGTTATTATATTAGGAACCGCAAGTAGTACTCATTTTGATTGAGAAAAACAACTCTTGTGAAGAGAGAAAATACACATGTACACCAAGATAAAATACTACCTCCGATCCTAATATAAGATCTTATTTAATTTTTATTTTCGTCTTAAATATAAGACCCCAATTCATTTTGTCTCTCATATTTATAAATTTTTTTTCCAAGATAGTTCTTTTAATAATGGTAGTTCTAACCAATACATTTGATTAGCGAGGATATTTTAGGAAAGACAACACCTATTTATTACAAATAACTAAATTAACTTATTTTCTTAATCTCCTCAAATTAGTCAACTAGTTCTTATAATTAGGACCGAAGGTAGTATTATTAAACGTTAACTTAAAATATTAAATTATGCTTGGTAAAAATATGATTTTTTTGGCCAACGGTAAAAATATAAATTGCATGAACTGAGGATTGAAGGATGCACAAGCGTCGTATGTTAGAAAATAGTTACAAAAATATTTACATATTATCCATCAAAAGGCTCTAATATTCACAATGGAACTTTTAATTTGATAGTGATAAACTGACAATATTTTTTTTTTAATTTAGAAGGATATGCATTAACAATAACAATGAAATTTATAAGAAAAAATAAACTTGTGATTTTTCATTAGTAACAAAATAACATTTTTAAATTATGATTATAATATTATAATTTTGATTCTCGCGGTAATGTGAAAGAAGCAGAGGTGGGGAGTGAAATGGGCGGCTCGGCTTGGCTTTAGGCGTAGGCGCGTGTTGAATCAGCTCACACGCGTTTTCCCGTTTCGACTGGAAGTCTGGAATCACTCTTTTCTTCAATTATATTTTCTGAATAAATAATTCTTTTGCCGCCAAATTGATCATCGTGGAATCTCTGATTTTAATTTCACATTTGGATCATTAAAAGACAAAAATTTGACATCTCACAATAAATAAGTTAGCATGATATGATCTAAAGTTCTTGGAAGAATTAACCACTGATGATATATATGGCTGTATAAATTTTAGGGAAAATTAAGTATAGGTTTTGAGGTAAGAGAATTAAATAATTACTATTACTATTAGTTTTTAAATTTCAGGTAAGAAATTGAATATGTACAAATTATGAGTTCAATTTGTAAATTATAAAATTTTAATTTATAAGCATAAATTGTTAAATTTGACTAATAAATGAAGCCATTAAACTTGTAAGTATGAAAATTTGGCTTTATAAATAATAAATTCTTAGAACCTATTAATATTAAATGAAATTTAGAAGACTTATTTGTTTTTTTTTTTAATCTAAGACTTGTAAATAGTTTTTTTTGTTTAAATTTTATTGGTCTCGCAACAATATTGTTTTGCTTGATTTATACCATTTTGCTATATGCAATAAAATTTGAAAAAATAAAGCAAGATGATGATATTTGAGAGAAAGTGACACACAAATAAGTCCAAAATGTCAATTATAATAGCTGCGCGAGTTTCATTACTTCAGAGATATCATTTCAACTACGTTTTGGAATACTATATGTTTATGACTATAAATAACTTTAATTAAAAATAATAAACAAACTAAAATAAATGAGTTTAAAATAAATTAGATTAAAAGAATTGGAAGCTAATCAATCATTAATTTTAATTTTCTTATATCATACCTTATTTTTAGTATTTTAAAATCAGTTTTGAGTATTGTGGTATACAAATGAGAATAAATCATTTACATGCTTCTAGCCTTCTACTTGGATTTTGGGATCAACATCTATATTGATAATAAATCATTAATTTATTCATATTTATGTGCACACATGTACATACTCTGTATTTCTGTATTATAATAATAATTCATGAAGTTTCATTTTTTTTTTGAGATAGTCAATGAATTTTAAATTAATTTATCTATTGAATATCCCGACCGCCACTCCCCCCCCAAAAAAAGACAAGATTAAATTGGTGTTATGAAATAATGGTTTTTTTAAAACTAAATTAATGATTTTTTTTTAATTTTTGCTTTGCATTACCTATCTGGAATGGAGGGACTTGGCAGGGTAACTTCAATTACGGGTTATTATTTATAATTATTTGTTTGAGAAATCTCGTGTTGAATTTATTTTATTAAATTAATAAATAGTTGTATTCTTGTACGGCGTAAGGAAATTTTAAGGTTCTAGATATTCGTAGAAACAGATTTTTTTAAGAAAAAAAGTTTGAAATAATATAATGCAGCTAAATGAGAAATTGAGTGGTTGGAATCATTGTCACATGATGAAGTCACTTGGCCATGTTCCAGCTTATAAAGCCATGGACATTTGGGAATATTTTCAAAGATTAAATATTTGCCTATTGACGACAATTTTTTAATTACTTAAAAAGTCTTTAAGAGATCTTAAATGTTTTTAAATTCAACATGTTGCTTTCTTTTAAAACATGGACAATTTATTTTATTTGACTTCTTCGTACTTCTTTTCTGAAAACAAAATATATATCTTTGAGAATTTACAAAGAAATTGAATAGATTATAAATGCGGCAATAAATAAAATAGGACTAAAATGATTAACGCGGTATATATTTTAGTTTTCTTGAGAGTTTAAGGAAAAAATAGAGAATAGTTAAATTTCTTATATTATCTTTACAATTAGTTAAATACATATAAAACAAATTTTTAAATACAGATGCATAATTATAATTATATCATACAAGAAGCCTACAAGAAATTCATAATTAATTTGTGCATGTTAGATATTTATATAACTGGGATTCGAAGGATATGAATGAAATATTTGTTTACGTAACATGAATCTATCTTTCAAAAGATATAGACTCAGACCAAAGAAAAAATAAAAGAAGAAGAAAATTTGAAATGTCTTAACATATTTTGGTCAAAAAAATGTCTTAACATATAAACTAGTGATCAGAAACTGTTTGTTATGCGACGTAGAAAATATAAACGCGTAATTAAAATAGACTTTGTAATTCTTTTCCAAAAAGAAAAAAAAACAAAGACTTGTAATTGATTAAAGATTTATAATAATAAATTATAACGCGTAAGCTACTCGAGGAAGGAACTACTGAGGAAGGAAGGAAGGAAGACAAATCATATTATCAAATAAATAAATAAACAAAATTCAACTAATAATAGTATCTCACTATTAATACATAAAACCAAATATGAATGCTAAATGAAGTTATTGTATGTGATATTTTAATTAATAATTTATTTACAAATTTTATTGGTAACAAAGTAAAATAATATTTTGCGATCTATATAGCCGATGATTATTATCATAAGTTGTTGTAATATCTCACTAAAAGAAAACTTATAAAATAGGAATTGATCTTATGATTTGAATTTGGTTATACCATAAAATACGAATTTGAGATCATAAGATTAAGCAAAAAGTAACAAAAATTAGTGAATTTTAATATGAAAAGGATATATTAATTTAATTAACAAACAAACACAAGATTTGTTAAATGAATTTACGGGCTGTAGGGTTTGACCCAAACATAAGCAAGTGTTCATAAGAATGGATCAGAGGTTTTTTTTTTTCCACTCAATTTTTGACATCTTCATATACTTAGTTATA